CGACGTATTCCCCTTGCTTTCTTTCTTTTTTTTTCCTTTAAAATTCATTCCGGCAATGTATATAAAAAAGGGAGAGTATTTTTCTTTCTTTAACGATGATTTCACGGTTCGCTGAAATTTCAGGGGATTCCCAGTTGGCGCGCAAAGAGAAGAAGCGTGAGAAATCGAAAAAGGTGTCTATGCTTTGAAAATCTGTGAACAAACCAATCGGCAAGTTTCTTCCGGACAGGAAATCTTTCAAGATTTCTCGACCATCATCGACCAATTGAATCTCACAGAGAATTTAACACCCCATATCTATCTCACTATCAAAAAAAAAAAAAAAAAAAAATACCGGAAAAAAAGACGACAAATTTTCAATTTCATTGAATCTCCATTTACTTAGAATATATATTCACATTATTTACATTAGATATAGAAATTTTAGGACAAAACCAAGAGAAATCAGAATCGAATCGATATTGCCACAAACTAGAAACTGTATATTTCATTTCCCGAGAAATTATAATCCTTGGGAAATGAAATACATAAGCCAATAATTATTGGCTTATGTAATCTTCCTCTCGCCCTCTGATATATATTTATTGAACGTAACCAGATTAATATGCTAATCGAGACTTAAGCCAGCCTGCTTACATTTAATTAATTATACTATTGTTATTGCATTTTAATTAATTTCTACCATTCATATAAAATAGTCAAAAATCGGAAATTTAAAATATATATTCAAATACAAAATAAGATGTAAAATAAAAAAATATGATTTTTTTACCAATAAAGGGTCATTCTTTCACAAACGTTCTATATAGTGGAAAATTAAAAATTATTTTAGATAGAAATAAATTATAAGAGGATAAAATTTTTATTGGAATTAAATTACTCATCTTGACAACAGATTAAAATGAATATTTATAACTCGATTAATTTAATATAATTTTAAAACGTTTTTTTTTTTTAAATTTCAAAAAAAAAGTAAACTGAAGAGAGAAAGCAAGCAAGGAATGAACTTTTCTTTCTTAGCACGTCGCGTGCTTTCGAGATACGCGACAAGACGAGAGGAGATTCGTCGACGTGCGTTTTCCACGAGAACGATCCTATATATCGGAAAGACATAAACGTTCTGAATCCCAGTCGTAAATTAGGATTCAACAAAATACTGGACGTTTTCGTTTTTTCAAATCTACCCCACCAAAGAGAGAGAGTGAGAGAGTCTCATACTTTATTCATTCCCTGATTCTCATGGCACATGACCATCTTGGGTAATTTCCATTTTATATATATATATTAAACTTGTTCAATTCAATTTAATACCACTCAATTATCTCTATTTCTCATTTATATTCTATTAGAAAGTACATTATTTTAAAAAAAAAACAATTTTTTAAAATAAAAAATTTTCTATTTTAAATAGTGATAAAAATAATAGAAAAAACAGGGACTTACGTAAAAATTATTTGATATAAATATAAATATTTATTTGATAATAGTCAAGTAACCGATTACTTAGTTACGTATTTTTTTTATTTTTTAGAGGGGCTCAAATTTCAAAGTTTTATTTAAAATAAAAAAATGTTCTTATTAAATCAAATAAATTATCTTTAAATCAAATAAATTTTCATTAAATTGAAGAAAACATTTCCTTAACTCTATGTTAAGGAAACATGTTTCTGTGTATAACGTTTCGCCCCCCCCCTCACTACACTATGGGAATAAAATTTACTCCCTTTTGGAGTTGAATTCAAACTCCAAAAATTTTATCTCCTGATGGACTCTCCTCAAATTTTTCCGCACATCGTATATTTATACATAAAAATTTAAAAAACATTTTAAATCCAGTACTCAATGTTTTGAAAAATATTTGTAGAGCTTTTCGCTTTGACATTTAAATTTTTTTTGAAAAAGACGAACAAGAAGAATAAGCAGTAAAAATGTTATGTATGGTCAAAATGAGTATTTTTCCTATATATATATATATCCGGAAAACGACGGCAGTGCACAGTAGAGAGAATGAAGAGTATCTGAGTGAGAGAAATCCACGTGGAAGATTATTTGCCGAGAGAAAGATTCAGAGCCGAGGTGCCATTAAAGGAGTTAAGAATTTTTACGATCGCCACGGCTCTTGAGGGTGGTTGGTGGTGCTGGTGTGTATATGCAGTAACAAGGGTGGCACGATTTCAAGAATGCAGAACACGTTCTCAACCAATGCCAGCAGTCAGACAGTAAAACAAATACGCCCGGGCTATATAGGGTGTTCCCAATGTAATAGCATCGTCCAATATGAACAGGTACTATATGAAGGTATATAGTGGTACCTATGAATCTACCACCCACATACAACCCAATACCTCGCAAAATCCAAGAATAATAAAATCGAAACCGCGCACAGTCATTTGTGTGTGCGTCTGTAAAAAAAAAATCCTCTAAAATATTTATTCACCTCTCATTTTATTTGACGCTGAGTTTTTCAAATTTCATATCCCTGTACTTTTATATAATATTATACTTTCGCATCTATACAATAATAGCTTATAGATTTTTTAAAGTTCAAAGAAAATTTTTGCTATTCTTATTTAAATAAATTACCAATAAATATTTATCAATCTATTTAAATTTATTTACAAATTTTTTACGAATAAAAGAAAGATAAATTAAGTTCAACTGCGAAGAAGAAAAAAATTGTGGGGAGGTTTGTTTAGCGATTTGTCTAAACTTCCTTTTGTGATTCGATTGACAGAAGAATAAACGTTGAAAGGTATAGTCGAGATAAATTGGTACAATGACTGGTTGAGAAGAAGAAAAAAAAAGAGCCCGTTAGGAAGCAAATGTCCTCTCTTTGAGAAAAATGTCCTCTTTAGAGGGTAAACGAATGACAGACGGGTGAAAGAAGTGGCCAATGTGGGCTGTTTTCGACGTCTCATGTGACACAAGCGTCGAGGCACTTTTGTTTTCGCGTCCCTTTGATTGAGTACCTCGGTTTCTTTTGTCTCATACCAAAAAAAAAAAAGAAGAAAACCTTTACCAAATTTCACTTTAACTCCCTTTCCCTCTTCCTCATCATCATCATTCCAGAATAGTCGCTTCAAAAATCAAAGTGAATTCTCCAAAATTCCGCATATATTATAAAAAACTATCCTATTTTTGAAAATTCGAAAAAATTTTTAGTTATTCCAAATATAACTTTTTTAAAATTAAAAAACAAACAAATTATATAATACACTAATAATAATAATAATAATGATAATAGTAATAATAATAGTAATAATAATAGTAATAATAATATCTCACATTCTAAAAATATAAAAATAATTAAGAGCACAAGTGTTAAAGGATTAGAGAAAAAAATTATTACGAAAATGGACCAGTTTGGCACCTGAGTCTAAAACAAGGTCAGTTGCTCCAAGAGGGACCTTTGATCTTGGATATTTACTCTGTGACCGGAAAACGAGAAGACTAAATGTATGTGGGGATGATCGCTGGACCAGTTTCTCATCACCTATATATATATATATGATGTAGAGCGCTCTATTTTTCGTCGAGAAGACAAGGGTCATCTCTTTAACAAAATCACAGGAACCTGTCTATTCGCGTGGCGCTCTCCCCCTTGATGTATATTTTTCCGTTTAGAGAGGCTCGTGCCACGCAGATGAGAGGAGAGAAATAATAATGAAAAGAAGAAACTGGTACAGCATTCAAAAAAGGGGATGCTGCTACTTTTTCTCATACACAATTGACCACTGTCCATACAAACTCAAGGGTAAATTCAGACCGCAAAATGATCCCAGTTACCCTTTGACTTTTTAAAATATCTATAAAGGGATGATGGTTCCCCTTTTTTTTGATGAGAAATCATTCCATCACATTAGTTAAATTTTTTTATAAGTACTTTTCTCTCTAAATATATTGAATTAGTTAAAAAAAATTGTTAACTAATTTCAAAATTAATGACTGACTTTACTCAATTAGTTAAATTTAACTAATTAGTAAATTTTTGTTAACAATTCAATTAAATTAGTGAAAAACAGTTTTTTTAAAAATTTAACTAATTTAAAAAAGTAAGTAATTCAAAATAGTTGAAAATTTGATTACTAATTAAAATTTAGAGTACAAAAATGTATAAATTGTAACCTTTTTTGCGACAGTAACTTAATATTTTTACTATTAAGAATCTTAAATCAAATGTTCAAAATTAAATTATTCAGCATCCCTCTTTGAACGAAAGCTTCAATTAACAGAATCCCTGCGTTGGAAAATGAAAAACGATTCAGCCGGTAAAACAGTATTGCTAACAAAATAACAAAAATTAATATTTTACCTGTATTTAACGATTAAATTCTCTGATAACAACAACCTTATAACAACAAACGGTTACAATTTTTTAAACTAGAAAGCAAAACATTTACTCACTGTAGATAAAGTAGATTCTATACTAATAGGTTAATATTACCAATAGTCGATATTTTCACTATCTAAAAATATTTAAAAACAATGTTTTTTCAAATATAAACACTTTTTTAGCAAGAAACAAATTTTTTAAATAAAAAAAAAACTCACATTGAAGTAGAAAAATATCTATCGAACCCTTTTTTCCGTTTCTAAGCAACAAAACCGATACAAAACTAGTCAACAGTTCTCGATTCTAGCATATTGAACTCTTTTAAGTAGTAACAGTAGTTTCGATGTCAGACCAACATCTTGTTGTGATATATATCGTTAAAAATATTCAAAAATTTCGCCAATAATGTGCAGTCAAAATCCCAGTGAAATGTACGAAACTAACGTAACACAAACACAGGAGCAACAACAAGAAAAATTACCAAAGAAAATATCAGAATTAAGAACAATCCTAAAGGTTGAAACAAAAAATTACCAATTCTAAATACAAAAATTTAATAATTTTAAAAATTCACAACAAATATAATATTTTTCTTTTTAGGATACAGAGAAAAATTTAACAATTTGTGAAGAACTTATTACGACCTACATTCAAAAGAGGTCACAGGTATGTTACAATATTTTTTTGTTTATTCTTTGTACAAGAGAATGATTTATAAATACATATAAAAATAGAATATGTAACTTAATACTAAATACCTCTAAAATTCTATTGATATAAATTATTATTTCTATAGTTTAATACAAAATATAAGTATTAACTAAAGATGTGTATTTACTTTTTTTTTATATTATAGAAATTCTACTTGAGAATTTTATCAAATTCTAGATTATTATTAAAAAAAGAAAAGAAATATAATTGCAAAATTGAATAATAAATTTTTTTCATAAATTATTTTCAATTGAAATTGTGATAATTAAAAATAATAATAATAATAATAACTATTATTATTTTTTATTATTATAATTGTTTATTACTTTTATTATTATTGTTTATTATTTTTTATTATTTTTTATTATTTTTTTATTATTATTATACGTCTTAAGAGAATTTATCTTCTATGATGCCAACCGCTAAGACCATAGCCTCCGTATATTAAAGGCACTTTCGGATACCAAGCCCCGTGCCAGCCTAAACCTGCACCACTCAATCCACCCCATCCACCCCAACCGCCGCCCCATCCACCATGTCCAAAATTAAGTCCATGACCCAAACCAATGCCGTGTCCTAAACCAATCCCATGACCTAAACTAAGTCCATATCCCCATCCAGGACTTGTTCTAAAAACAAAATCAGAAAATTCATTTCTTTCCTTAAATTACTATTTTTTTGTTTAATTATTTATTAATAAACCTATTGTAAATACTTGTTAATAAATAAAACCAATTTTTTTTTTAAACACATATTTCTTTAGCAAAATTCTTAATCAATTTTCTATTCAACGAAATTTTTATTTAGGCAAATTTTTCACTACAGAGGATTTTTATTTAGCCGAATTTTCATTTGGAAAAAATTTTAATTAATATAATTTTTAATACAATGTTTATTTAGCCAAATATTAAACAGGATTTTTATTTAACTTTTCATTAAATGAATTCTTATTTGAATGTATTTTCATTTATTATTTCTTTTTGCATTTCTGTTAATCGAATTTCCATTTAATATAAAACATTTATTTAGCCAAATTTTTATTAAGCATAATTTGTATCTAGCCGAATTTTCATTAAATAAGAATTTTATTTAAACGAATTGTAAAAACGAATTCTCACCTGCGGAAAAATTCTCACCTTACGGAATTTTCTACTAACAAAACTTTTATTAATCCAACTTCTCATTAAACATCATTTTTATTTAGCCGAATATTCATTAAACACAATTTTTATTAGAAAGAATTTTTTTACCTATAGCAAAATTCTAACTATACAGAATTTTCATCTAACGAAACTTTCATTTAGCCAAATTTTCATTAAACATAATTTCTATTTAGCCAAATTTTCATTGAACATAATTTTTATTTAGCTGAATTTCCATAGAATTTTTATCTCAACGACTTTGCTTATTTATAACAAAATTCTAACCTAACAAAATATTCTTTAACTAAAATTTCATTTAGCCAAATTTTTATTAAATATTTTTATTTAGACGAATTTTATTTTCATTATCGAATTTACAAAGAAAAAAAATTAAACACAATTTTTATTAGAAAGAATTTTTTTACCTATAGCAAAATTCTAACTATACAGAATTTTCATCTAACGAAACTGTCATTTAGCCAAATTTTCATTAAACATAATTTTTATTTAGCTGAATTTCCATTAATTAGAATTTTTATTTCAACGACTTCTGCTTATTTATAACAAAATTCTATCCTAACAAAATGTTATTTAACTAAAATTTCATTTAGCCAAATTTTTATTTAATATTTTTATTTAGCCGAATTTTATTTTCATTATCGAATTTAGAAAGAAAAAAAAATTGACTACCTATAACCAATAAAAAGAAAATGAGCAAAAAAGACTCTGAATAAAATTTATTTTCGCAACTATTTCACAATCACTATAAATAAAAATTTATAGAGTGATAATTAGAGAAATGACTAATTTTTGTAAAAATGAAACATTACTTTTTCAACATATAAATATATAATAAACGTTCACTGTCAATCGATTTTTTGTACTGCCCCTATATATTTACTATTATTATCTCTCCAACTTCGCGGTTTTACTACTTTCCAATAAGAAAGAAAGAATGTCCCTCTATTTCAGAATGTGAATGTTTACATTAAATTTGCTCACGTTATTAGACACTTACTTTTTTTTACTTTCGCAATTTAGATTGTACAATATTTAGTATATATTTATGATTCTTTGAAACTTTTAAAATATATAGATTTTTGTCATTATAATTTTTCCGCGTAACAATACTATAAATAATAATCAAAAAGCATGTTTACTGAATTTTAATCATAATTTTTTTTTTTTTTAAATCATCAATTCTCTCTGAAGAATGAAAGTTATTATAATAGATCCTAGAAATTGAATTGACACTTACATAGGCCATCCGAGGCCACCGGAACCCCACAATCCTAAGCCATAACTTCTTTTCTGTATTATTTTATCCGAAGAACTTTCCCCATTGTAAGATTCCGGAACAGGAATATTGGATTCAAAGTTATTCACCTCCCGATTAGCATCAATGTCAAAAGTACCACCCGAAACTAGGACCACTAATGGCAAAATTAACTATAAGAAGAAAAAAATTTTTTTTTTTTTTATAAAAAAATTAATAATTAATAAAAAAAATCTACAAAACCAGATTCTCAGGAATAAATTTTTTTTTTTTTAAATTACGAAAATTATCACTGCACGTACAAATTTTATCGTCTTACCAGGAGCTTCATATTATTATTTATCTAAATACAACTTTCAACTGATGTGTGGACATTCAATTGACAGTTCTTTTATATACTATCATTCCGTTATAAAGTTGCTTACCAGAATATGGTAAATATAAAAGCAAGACTGGTCTTGCTTACGTACAAGCACTGAATTATTTTATTTACCACTCCCATTTTATTCGCAAACATAACAAACGTAATAAGCATTTCATAAGGGCACTGCGACTTACGTGAAATGTAAAAAAAATTGTCACTTGATTTATCGTAAACGAGAAGTATTTATTTATCAACGAAACAACTATTTTTTTAATCAAAAAAAGCTATGGACAAAATAACTATTTACACAGTGGAAAAAAAATATTTATTTGATTCAAATAATCGATTACTTATTAACAAATAAATATTCATTTGTATCATAAATAATTATTTGGTTTCGAAAATTATTTTTTTCAAATAAATATTTATTTGATAATAGTCAAGTAACAGATTATTTGAATGAAATTTTTTTTTTCAGTGCACATAATGCCAACATCAGTTAAATGAAAATTCTGTTTGATAAAAATTAGCTACAAAAATTTTGCCAAATAAAAATTCAGTATTTTAAAATTTAATCCACTGGAAATTCGAACTATATGTTTTAGGAATTTTATTTTTTTTATAGAAACAAATTCACGTGAAAAATTTGATTTTTTTATGTAATTGCACCTATCGAATTAGAATAAAAAATAAAATGTAAATTAATTACTATTGCAACATTTAGACTTTTTTTAACTCAATTTAACGTGATAGAACAAACAAACCAAGATACTTAAGGAAAAGACTTTCTTTAATCAAGGAGAAATCAATGGGCATCGAACTATGAGATAACTATTACAAACGATCCGGATATGCGATGGCAATTAAAATATATAATCTTATATTGAGTTGTAAAATATTCAAAGAAGTTCTTATTCTTACAGAACAAAGTATTGATATAATTATCTTAATTTTAATTAGTAAAAATTTAAAACTAATTTGAATTAGTAGCTAAATCACTATTATTATTATTTTTATTATTTTTATTATTTAATGCTATAAATTAATTAAAATTTACTAATTCATGAAAGGAACTTTATTATTCTCGAATCAAATAAAAAAAATGTAAGAATAAAAAATATTTTTTTTTTAAATTGTAAATTTGAAAATTTATCGATTTTTATAACTAACTCAATTGTGACATAATAATAAGGGGCAAAATTTCAATTGATTTCATGGAATTTGATATCGAAGCTGTTTCCTGCTTTCTAGGACAATAAAAAATAAAATAAGGAAGTTTAATCGATTTATCACTATTTAACCACTAACTGAAAGCACTCGTAACAAAACGTAATATTTGACAAAAAAAAAATATATATTTTCCTTACATCAATAATGATTACATTTTCATTTTAAATATAAACCCCTTAATTGAATATTATGTCAGTTTTTTTTCTATATGAATTATATATTCTATGAACTAGAAACCCATTTTTACTATAAAAAAAATATCCTCAAATACAAAAAGTTCGATAAAAAATAATTATTATATATATATAATTCAAATTAGTTAAAATTTTTATTCTAATAAAAATTAAGAAAGTAAATAAATAATAATTTTTTAAAAATTAATTTACAATAAAATAATTAAAATAAAATTTTGTAACTTTTACAGAAGTGAAATTAACTTTTATTGTCAAGGTCATAAACTTGTAACGCACGTATTGAAAACCATTGATATTGAAACAATAGAAAATATAACAGTTGCAATATAATCAACATTTTTACAGTTTCACTTATTTAAATTGGCGAGTTAAGAAACAAATCTGTAGAAACTATTAACTATGTATAGAAATTTTTATCATTCACAGTTGATTTATTTTACATTAGCAAATAACTTCGCGTAATTAATATTTTCTATCAAATTTTTAGAATATTTACATATATCTTTTAATTAATGTTATTTTATGCACCAAAAAAAACGATATTCTCTCTTTAAACATTACTATTATTATTATTATTATTATTATCATCATTATAAATATTTTAATTATTATTATTATTACTATCGTTATTATAAATATTATTATTATTAATAAAACTTTTTTTTATGAATGTTGTAACTAGGTTTAAAATAGTTTAAAACAGTTCAGTATAATTTTTTTAATTATAAATATACTAATTGTCATTACTACCCTTTAAAACAATTATAATCACCCCAGAACTCGCTCAACTAATATATGATAATTACGTAACGGCCTTTTACACGGATCTGTGAACAACATGTGCAATCCGCATTGCATTTTTTTTTTTACAGTTCACTGTTCAGCAAGGTTTTGCTTTAAGGTCCACAAAAGGAAAACTAATAATATCGCGCGCGAGGAGGAACTTTCTCCAACGACATAAAGCAGGTTCAATTTACTTTCGTAAATGAATCCAAATTGAAATATTCTATATATAGTTTGTTATAATTTGTCTAAAATTACATCTAAAAATTAATTAGATAACCATTCGGAGTATATATAACAAAAGGCATCACTCGCTTTGATGCGCTTTTAGATTAAATAATCAACTCACGGAAAGAAAATAAATCACAATTATTCCAATTAATGATATTTTCCTTTCTACTTCATCGAGATCATATTTTTTTTTTTAAAGTAAAAGAAAAAGAAAATTTTCAAAGAGAAAAATTTTCTGTTTCTTTTTTTTACTAATTCTATTACCGTGACGATGTTATATTAAAGAGTACTCATTAAAAATAATTGCACCATTTAATACAATACGCAATTGAGAAAATAATATAATGTTATAAATAAATGATGATAAGAAAAATTTATCATCAATATTTCGAGTATCTTTTTTTTTTTATTCCACATCTACTTTCTTCTTTGCGAAATCGAAATTTAATTTCATAGAAAATACATTAAAATTCTAACTATGATTTAAGTTTTAAAATCCGAGAAACGTATATTTTTATAACGTCAATCAAATAAAAAATTATATTTTTCAATTTTAAATCAGTTAATCTTAAAAATATAATAATTATACATTAAAAAAAAATGTTATTGATAATTTTATAACATTCAATTGTTTCATTTTCAGCTATAGGAAGCAATAAAATAGAGAAAAAATAAATTATTAGCAAAAATTATTTTTAACCTTAAAATCAGCAGCCTGTATCTGATCTCCATTCCAGAGTTCCTTTCCAAATGATGATTGATATATTCTTCATGATAAAAACACACGCGATGATTTTAAAAAATGATTTCAAATTTACAAAAACTCCCGAAAATAATAATGAATTTTCAAAGCAAAACAAAAATTTTCGTAATTAATAAAACAGGGTTTTAAATTTCTAAAACAAAACCAAAAACTATTAAAATTTTTCGATCGCGATTTTAAAAAATTCGAACACTCCCGAAATTGTTAAATTAAAAAATAAATTTTTAAACGTGGTCAATTTCTGAAAATGCACACATGTACTGCAATTCCACATCTGTAAATAAAAAATAAATTTTTTAAAATTATTATTTTATTTGTATTATTACTGTGCAAGTATAAACTTTATTAACATCGACTCTAGAATTACAAACTAATGATATCAAAAATAGTGCAAATTTTCAATTGAAATAATTATAACCGTAACCACTGACTGCACCCTAAATGTAAACATACCGCTCGAGATTTATAACAGCCGATATCAAGACGTTACTCTTGTTTTGATGCTCATTTAAACTATGTATAATAAATATAATTTCCAAAAGTTGAAAATTTATTTCAAAATATGAAAATAATTTACGTTAACGTTTGCCTTTTATTTGTAAAAATGACAAAAATAGTACTCATTTAATTTGATGACAAAAAATGTTATTCAAATAGAAAATAAAATAAAAGTTAAAAACAAATTTAATTCATTTGAAGAAGAAATTTGATAGGAAAATCGTAATAGTCTTAAAAATGACATAATAGCTGATGAACATAAATTTTTATACAAATAAACACGTGCTTTAAAATTTTATGCATCAATAAATATCCTTTCACTTCAGACAATAACGTAAAATGCAATCGACTGATGAACAATATCGCAAAAAAGTGAATCTATTTAATGACAATTTATTTCTCCTTTTTTTCTTCATATTATTGTAATATATTAAATATATTTTTTACCGCCTAAAAAAATTTTCCTTATTTTCTATTAACATTTATAAATATTTTAAAAATGCTCTAATTATCGCAAATAATAGATCTTTTTATTTTATGTAATTCTATATTTTAATTCATCTATACTTTTTTAAGAACTACAAATCATTAAGCTGTGATTTTTTTTGCGGGCTTCCTAACAAAATTGATCTTAATTTTCTGAAACTTGGCTAATTAAACCAATTTCTGAACATAGCACAAAGGTAGGGTTAGGCCTTCGAATATTAAGTTATAAAACTGGAGCAGCAAAAATAGCAGTATAGGTATATTAATGTTTTTTCAGATAGACAAAAGTAATAAAAGACTAGAGGAATTTTCAGTAATAATGCCAATTTTAACGATTCGACACATTCTCCTTAGCCCAATACTTTTTTTTTTACAACCACTGCACCGTCGCGCTTCAGTTCTTTGAAATCAATGGGTAGATCCATGCAATTGAAGAGAAACTCATTGATGGCGTTGACGTTTCTTTCCAATATTATGCAAAAATCTATCCCCACCTGTAATCCATTGTTTATTGCCTTTTGCTAGCGACAGTTGTACTCAGTTTACGAAAAGACTCTCAACCAACTACTACTAATTCTGCTCTGTCAGACAATACCTAATTTCTAAACCTTATATACATTTTTTCACACTTTCTTCTCAATAATGTTCTTCATTAGGATTTTAAATTTCACTTTAAACAAATGAATTGACAAATTCATTTTTATTTTTTTAAAAGGACTAAAATTGTGGTTCATCATTATGAGTGTCAACAAATAGTGAAGTGTTTTCACTAAATAGCATATATCGAAAGAATAAGTGTCCTTTAAATTCTTTCAAAAATGGAGTACAAGATGAAACTTTTTTGGATAATGTGCTTCCTAAATGGTCATGTGTTTGCAATAATAATACCAATTGAAAATGATGAAAAGCCAACAGAATTTGGACAAAAGAAAATCACAAAAGATGCAGAAGATTTTTTAATTCAAAAAGTTGAAGAAGAAATGTTGGCTTTAAATAAAACTACCGATCCACGTGATAAAAGAGCTCTTGGTGTGCTTATACAAGGATTAGTTGAAGCATTAGGTTGGACCCCAATGCCATTACAAATAGCGTCATTACCAAATCCACCAACCTCTCCAGCTCCCGTGCCATTTTTTCCAACCACAAAACCTTCTTTGCAGCCACAACAACCTCAAACTGCAGCTGCAACTCCAGCTCAAGCCAGACAAAGAGAAACACTAAGATTAACAGGAGTTGTTAATTTTGGAAATAATTCTAATATTCTTGGTCATTTGCAACAATATGAAACCATATTTCATGGTCCACGACCTACACCTCCGATGCAATCTACAACATCTCGACCTCCACTGCCTCCACCTCCTCCTCCGCCACCTCCACCACCACCAATTATTGATCTACCAGATTTTGAACCAGATTATGATGAACGAAGTAGACCCAGTGCTCCTAATTTAATAGATGCCCGATCACGTGACAATGATGTCAATACAAAAAATTCATTAAAATTCCGATCAAATAATGATGACAGTACCAAACCACCACTTCTTGTACCCTATTTGGTAAAAATTCCCCTACCAATTGCTCCTAATCTTCCACCTCTACCTTCTGTATATCCATTTAAAAGTAAGTCCAAATTTAAAAATACAGAAGAAATCGAAGACGACGACGACGACGACGATGATGATGATAAGAAGAATTTTAACTTTAAAAACACCGAAGACGATTTTGACTTTAAAAATGATGACTTTTTCTCCAGAAATGATGACAAATTGCCAGATGATGAAGACTTTGAATATCGAAATAAAGAAAGTAAAGAAAGCTACAACGAGGAGAGTAAGGAAATTTTCAGTGACAAGGAAGTGATGGATCCATCCAGAACCCTTAAAGAAGACTTCTCTTTCGACGACAATCCTTCTAGCAAAAAGGAAAAAGCATCAGAATTATCTAAAAATAAACCTTTTAACAATAATAAACAACAAACTGATGAGCATTCTGACGAAAAGGATAAAATCCAACAAATAGAAAAAGAAGAATCTGAGAATTCAGAAGAAAAAATTAATTACAATTCGCAAGAAAATAATTCAAGAGAGAAAATCAATTCAAATACAAAAGAAAGCAATTCAAAAGAAATCTATCATTCAAGAGAAAATAATTCTGATTCTAATGATGGTTCATCAGAGAATTTAAACGATAATTACGAAGAAAAATACGAAGATAAATCATCGAATTACGAGGATGAAAATGATTCCAGTGAAAGATATGACGACGAATCATCTTCTGAGGAATATTCCCGAAATCCTTCAGAGGAATCAACAGAATATGGTGACTATGAGGAAGGATCAATTAAATATAAACAGTACAAAAAACCCGAACATTCATCTGACAGTACAGAAAGGACCATAAATAACAAAGATGAATCCACTACAATCGATTTTGAAGAAAACGAAAAAACTACCGAAAAATATAACATTCAATTCAATAATGACGAGTATCCATCAACAGTTCTACCCATTAATTTTGATCGTGAAAAAAGTAGAACAAACGAAATTCTACGAAATAGTTATGGTGAGAGTCTGGAAAAACAAGGAATCATCGACGATAGAATAGCCGATTATTTCACTATGTTTAAAAATCCAGATACTGGAATCTACGATATCAATAAATTGCAAAATGTAGAAAGTGAATCATCATTGAGAAACAGAAAAAAAGTTGATAATCCCAAAACGGACAATTATATCCCCGCTGAAAATAAATACGAAGAATACGATCTTAAGGAAATAGAACCAAAAAAAAGTAAGTCATTAAAAAAAACCAATTTCGTTGAACCGAAAACATTATTTCTTTCAACGGATGATGCTAAACCAGGAATTTCTAAATCTTCAAGATTTAATTCGAAAATAAATACTCCTAGAATTGATTATAGATCAAATGCAACAAGTATCATTTCTAAATACGATAAACCATTACGAAGACGTCCTACTTATGTTTCTAAACACAATTCAACTCTAATTCCAAATGATACAGTACCGGTACCTAAATATTCTAAAAATGAGAGAAAAATTTCGTCAACAACTGGAAGACCTCAATTTGAAGAGTATAAACCAACAACGACTAAAGGAAAAAAATCCAGAAGACGTCAATTTAACAATACAATTCCTGTTGCAAACGAATCACAGCAATTACAAAACAATATAGTAAATATTCCTAGACGAAAGGAAGATAAAAAACCTGTTTTTAAAAGCAAGAAATTTCAAGAAGATTACACAACTTCTATACCTAGAAGTAGAGAATCACCTATTTCAAGAAATAGAGATTTCGTACCACCAATCAATAGAGAAACAACTCCAAACATATCACCCGAAACACAAGAATTTCAGGATATATTTCTTCAAACAACACCTTACTATCCACCTACTTATGAGACAATAGCTCCCGAAAATTGGATCCTAAGACGTTACGAACCTGTCGAAAATGCTAAACAATATCAGCAACATCCATTTGATTATTTGCCATCATCATCATCAAATACCAAAACAAAAAATAATTACATACAAATTCCCAATGAGCGAATAATTGCTAATTACAGTTCCTATCCAGAAAATTCTTTTTCTCAAAACAATCATAAACGAGGGAGATTATCATCTAAAGTCACCAAACATAAAACAATTTCAAAACTACCGGAAGATACAAAACTCAAAGAAGAAGAAGAGTCAGTAAAATCAAAAGAAACAGATTACAAAACTGCTCTTCCGGAAAAAGTACAAATCAAAAATCTTCACGAAATTAATGAAGATAAAAAATTTACAGCATGGCCATCACCTTTTGATTATGTTTTTGATGGTACTGTGAGTACAAATGTCGTTCGTCCATCAGTAACATATCAACCATTAACTGCAGTTCTTAATGCATACGAACAACCAATTATCACAACACCTACAACATTCTATTCCTCAAATCGAAGATCATCATCAAAATCCGAAAGAATAACTGATCGAAACTTTACACCTCGACAAAAAAATAAAAACAATCATCAAAGAAGACAAGGAATTGATGAAGAAATTATAGAGTCATCACTTGAGGAACCATATCCATTAAGAAATTCACGTAAAGAGGAAACAAAAGATGATTATCAATCTGAATACGAATCATCTGATTCAGAATCTTCTTTCGTTGATCCTTATGATCTACCAGTTGGTGGTGTTCATTCCCTTCACTTTTATCAACCATCTCAATCGATTATCAAAACCGAAAGCACTGTTAAGGAACCATCAACAAAGAACGATGATTCAACTTTCAAATTAAAAATGCCAAATGAAAAGGAAACACCTGTCAATAATCGTCGTGAAAAAGCTAGCTATGAACGTGTCCAACCACCTTCAACAAATTGCTCACAAATTTCTAGAAGAAATATAAATCGAGGAACCACAAATTGTAGAGAGGGAAGAAAAACAACAAATCAAAAGGAGAGGAATGACAGTCGAGAAAGAGTGATACGAAAACGAATGAGAAGTACAGGTAAAAAAAAATAAAAAAATTGTTGATTTAGGTTTCAAGGTACATGATTATAAGTCATAACTTTGAAAGTAGAGAGACGATTCAGTTTCCGGTATACGAGCATAAAGAATAAGAAAATATCTGTGAATGGATCTGACTTTGATGACTGCACCGGAAATCATCACTTATTATCGATGAGAGCTTCACTAGATTTTCAAAAGAAATCGAAAGCGAAAATAATATAAAAAAATAATAAATATTTTTTATTATTTTTAAATATTTATCACTATTATTATTAAATATTTATTCTACTGAAAATATTACACAAAAACCGCTATACGGGATTTAACAAAATTTTCGCAAAAATTGTTCAAAAAACTAAAAAAAAATTTGGAAATTAAAAGGAATACAAGTACAAAAAAAATTAATATTTGGGAAATAATTTTTCAAACTTAGCAACATTTTTAGCAAAAGAAAATTTAAATAAAAAAATTATACAATAAATAATTCCTTATTCATGATTTAAAATTTTTTAATATTTCAAAAATCTTTGATTTAAACAATGAATTTTTTTTTATTGTTTCAGGAAAAACGGGAAGAGACGCTTCGTAAAAATGAATTGGAAACAAAAATGACCGAAGTTTTGGAAAATTTAAAAACACGATTGCTAGTCGAATGATTAAATATGACAAAAATGTGATAGATTAAAACGAATTATAAATTATTATATTAAAATATAATTAACAATTTATAGCTTTTATTACTTTTTAATATTCGTTTATATTATGCTTTTGTTGAAAAAATTTGTCTTCTATGTTTAGAAAATGTTAAATCATAATTAGTTATTATTTTAGCATTTATATAATAATTTTCTTTATATTCGTTGCGAGTGTGACTTAAAAGATGTTTTTTTATGTTTGTTGGCAAAAATTCAAAATTAAAAAAAAATAATTAAAAAATAAAATAATAAAAAGGACTTACCAATCTAGTATGTAGGAACACTTTTTCGTTACGTTTTCTTTCCTTTTCTTCTTGAGTTCTGAAAAAATAAGAAAAAAAAAACTATTAATACTTCTATTATAAATAAAAGGTAAAGATATACTTAAAAATATAAAAATTAACAAACAATTATTAAGTAGATAAAAATTTCATAGTTTTGAAAATTAAGATATAATTTTTCAAAACTTTGCGGTTTCTACCTCTTTTATTGCTAATAAACATATTTTCCTTTTTATCAGTTGATGGTATTTTACCTACTGTCGATATTGTCAAAAATGGACAAAACCAACTAAAGCCATCTATATTTCTATGATAAAAGCTGTTTCATTGAAGTTCTAAAAAGTAACAATAGGTGGCACTTAATGGACATGTTCAGGTTAAACTAGATTTTAACTGTATATATGTCAATTGTTTAAGATTGTGCCTGACGTTCATTTGTTATTAAAAAAAAATACTATCTTTTTGGTTATTTAAAAATTATTTCCAAAAAGGTGAAAACTAAAACTTTTTCTAATAAGAAAAAATTGTAAATATTAATTCTTTAATAAAAAAGAAAGTGAAAATGGAAATTGAAGAAACTTATCAATATTTAAACAAAACCCCTCAATTTCACGAAATTGATAGTTCAAAAACAAATGTTCAAAAATATATTAATGGTACATTGGGACGGGAAATTAATATTCATCATGGAGAGGAATCATTCTTAGAATTGTAAGTGATATAAAAATTTTAAATTTCATCAGTTAAAATTTTACTCAAATTCCATTAATTAACACTAAACAAAAATTTATTTGTTTCAAGTAATCGGTTTTGACTATTATCAAATAAATATTTATTCGTAATAAAAATTATTTGCTTCAAATAAATATTTCTTTCATAATAAAAATTATTTGCTTCAAATAAATATTTCTTTCACAATAGTCAAGTAACTAATTATTTGTACAAAATAAATTATTTTTTTATATTAAATAATTTATTATATTGAAGATAAAATATTTTGAATATGAATTGGTTTCACAGATCAGACAGACTATCCCTATCAGATGTAAATGTCGATCAAGAGGAATTAAATAATAATTGCTTTGAACAATACATTTGCTCTATATGTCACATACCGAAACCTAGTGCTCGACTTCTTGATATTCATATTCAAGAAGATCATGACAACATTTTCTTTAAACTTTTATCCGAGAGACAACCTATGGTAATACTATAATATATAGTAAATAAATAAAATAATAAATAAATTATAATAATATATATAATTTTAAAAATTTTAGTACGAATGCTACATACAAAGATGTGATTTAAAATTCAACAGTCAATCTGAAAGGGACGAACATTGTATTTCAATTCACAAATATATCAAAAGTTTTGGAAGTATTGTTCATCGAGAGCAACTTGAAAAATGGGAATCAATAAATAGAACGAATGAACAAAATATGTCACAAAAACGAAAAAATACGGATGATTTTCAAAGTAATAAAAGAATAGCCTACGACAGCAATATAATAATTAACGAAATGCGAATAGAGGAACCAAAATCAACTTTAACGTTCGTTCCAAGACAAATTTTACTCGACAAAAAACCCGGTGTAAATTTACGAACTCATTTAACTTAATAAGAGTTCATTTATAATTTAATTAGTGAAATTTAACTTAGTAATAATTATTTAAACATATTTATAATTATAAAATTTTAATCTCAAAAGATTTTAAATATTGTAAAAAGAAATTGTACATATTAATAAATTTTAAAAGAAAGATATACGTATATAAATTCACAAAATGTTTTATTTTTATTATAAATATATCTTAAATATTATAACAAACTTTGTATATACATAGGAACATTTATTCGGAGATCAATCGCTTAATTTCTAGATTAAAATCTTATATTTACAAGTCACTTATTTACTACTGACTACAAAAGACCGCATAAAAAGTAAAAAAATGTATTCACTCTGCTCATAAAAAATAGTTCTGATTCGAATTCCAAATATGATTCTTACATTAATAACATCAGTCTAATATCAGTCTTCTACTCAATCCCTGAAAATTTAATTTATGTTCGAGATAAAAAAACAAAATAATTCACATTGAAACTGAGTTTCATTATTTTATCATCTCATTGTGCTTTGCAATTTTTCTTTGCCTGTCGAGAGGAATCTATAATCTATTTACAATTATTGAGTAAAAATTATTTTCATCAAACACTTACAAGATATGGCATTAAAAAAAATTGTTTACAATTATAAATTCTGTCACGCTTTCAAGAAGAAAGCTTTACATATACTGAAAAAAAAGTAAATTGACAATTTTTTGATCAAATACAAATTTTAAAAATATAAATGGTCAATTGACTTTTTTTTTATAATTTACTTACTACTGAAAAAAATTCCCTAATTACTCAAAATTGTAATTGAAATTAATGTGAACGAAATGGAATATTAAACTGAAATTCTTAGTTTTCTAGTAAGTACCATAAAGATGATTTTTTCAAAACAATTATTGTTTCTTCAAAAAAGAAAACAAAAATTTCACAGCTCTTTGACATTAATAAATACTCTCTCAGTGACAACTTTTTACTCTCTTACTTTGGTGACAGAATTTTTGTTTCATTACGCGTCAAAAAAAAAAAAAAAGAAAAATTGCAGTTTAACTGTAATTTTTATACGAGATATTAAAAAAGAAAATAGTTACAGACAGTGATCAAAATTATGACAAGAAAGGATTACCAAATTGTAGATTAATTTTACCTAATTACAAATAGGTATTTTAGATTATAAAAACATTTTGAAAAAAATTGTTCACTTAATTATACTGTATTATTAATTATTTAACAGTAATATAATAAGAAAAATTTAATTTCAACAATTATTATACCATAAATTCTATAGCATATTAATATGAATTAATTAAATTTTTGCTCTTCAAAGAAAACTATTATTCCAATAGTTTACATATGTTAATTGTATAATATTTGTTTATAGTGTGTAATTAATTATTTTCTATACATCTACAATCGAGTAAGCCCTTTTTCTTGCTTTCATTTTCATGGAACTTTGAATATTTTAATTATTCCTTAAAATTCATATAAATATATAAAACAATCTAATAAAGAATTAAATAAATTATTATTATTAGTGAGAATAATTAATTAAATATGATAGTTATTAAATTATTAAGGAAGTTCCCTCATTCAGCGTGCCAGCAACTGAATTAAGGGACTTCTAAAATTCTTCTCAATCATTATAAATTACAATTTTTTTTTCAAAATTTGGCAAGGGATTAGATAGTTCCTTACCTATAATCCAATATTTTTTTCCCCTATAAACTATTATAGTTTAAATAATAAAATTACTTATTTTAACCACTGTCTGAAACTAGTTCACAAAAAAAAAAAAAAAAAAAAAATTAAACTCATTTCAAACAATGAAACACAATTTTCATGTCATTTTCTTTAAAAAAAAAAAAGAATAATAATAAAAACAAAAAAGAAAAGAAAAAAAATAACGAAAAAAACAAGAAATAGATTGTAAAGAGAGCAAGTTTTCCTGAGAGTGAGAATTCTTAATTTGAGTATATCATACATCTTAGTTTTGCTGTTTCGTTTCTAAGAGCAACCAACTCATATTTAAGTTTCAAATTTTCCTGTTCAAGGAAAGCCGCCCTTATTGCTATTTCATCTTCTTTCGCCCGTCTCGCGTCCCTAGAGCGTTTCGCAGCCTCGTTATTTTTTTTTCTTCTCTCCCAATAGGCAGCATCTTTTTCATCCATGGTGCTAGTTGGCAAACCTGGACTTTTTGACACTCTGCAAAAATAAAATAAAAAATTAGAAATTTCGTTAAAAATTCTCTTGAATAAAAATTTAATTAATTTTTTTTTTTTTTTTTTTGAACAATATTTAAAATAGAAAAATATTTCTTACCTTCGCATTTTGATGTTCGTTCCCTCATTGCTTCTTCTCACAGAGTCGAGCATTTTTTTCCGAAATTCCGAATACGCATCATTCGAATTTTGATCGTATATTAATTCAGAAACAACGCTCAACGAAAGTGGATCTTTGGGATATGCTTTAAATGGTCTTGCCGATTTTTTACATTCAGGTGTTATTGGTGTTGTCGCAAGATCTTGAGTAGTCGATGTTGCATTTGGCATTTGAATTTGAATATGACTATTGTTGTTGTTGTTATTATTATTATTATTATTATTTTGTACAATCATTGATGGTATGACTGTGGTTGGTACTGTTGGTATTAATTGTTGTGTTTGTGGTACAATTGGTACAGGTATGTGAATTGGTGGACTATTCACATAATTATTGTGCGTAATACGATCCACTGAATGTACAACACTAATTTTATTATTATTATTATATGTTTGTTCAAATTTTGGTTTCTTTGGAGATTCTTCTTCAGAAGGTGGTGTCACCATATAGCTTCGTACTTCAAATGGATTTTCCCTTCTATCAGTGGGACATGTTAAATTTGCCGCTTGCGTTTGTTGTTCTTCGTTTGATGAATTAAACGATGAATCGGAAAATGTGTCACGTTGAATACGACCACTTGTGAAATTTGTGGAAATTATTGGTTGTTTTTTGCAAGATAGATCCAATACTGGTTGCTCTTGCTGAAAAAAATTGGGTTAAAAAAATCCAAAATTAATTCAAAAATACAATTAATTATAATTTATAAAATATTTATTCATTATTTATTAAACTTGATTTTTTCCTTCTATAAATTAAATTAGTTTATCTTACCTTCACTATTTGATTTTTCATTTTTGAAGTGAAATCCAACGCCTGAAAGTCTACAGCCGTTGACAGGTACGAATTCATCTTTCTCAACTGAAAGAAATTAATTCATAAAAATTAATAAACATTGTAATAAAGGTATTATTTTTAATATTTTATTAATATAATTGTACTATTATTATTATTTTTTTTTTATTATTTTAGTTTTACTTTTTATTTTTAATTTAATTAATTTTATTCTTTTTATATAGTTTTTGCATCATTAAAATATTGTTCAATTATAACAAAATGGCATTATAGTGAAAAGAAAAGAATTTTTATTTAGGCATTTTGGCCTTTTCTTAGAAAAGGTATATTCAAGTGGAAAATTGTCTCAGGACCCCTGTTGAGACAGTAAAATTTAAAATTAGGCCAATTTCGGTTACATTGTAGGAAACAATTGATTTTGCTCCAATTTCACGAAACATGGTATTTGTATATATTTCGTACCATTTTTACAACTCTGTTAAACCAAAATATTGTCATATAAATGTCACCATAAAAGGTCTCAATTTCGACAATAATATTTTTTTTAATTTATAAATTGCTCAATATAATTTTTTATAATATATAAAAAAATAATAGTAACAATAATACTAATAATAAAAAAAAATAATAATAATAATAATTGTTATTATTATTATTATAAAAATGTGTTATAAATTGAAAATAAATAATATTTAATATTTATTGAATGAACACGAATTGTAAATTGTTTATTTACTTTCGCCACAATTTCTATAAGTTAATTCTCTTGAAAAATTCACTGTGCAAAAAAATTTTTTTTTAATTGCCAAGTAATAATATTTTTTAAAAAATATAATAATAAATTTGAACAATATTAAAGGGAAAAAAAATTTTCAGCTCTTAGATTATAAATAAGTTATTAAAATTTTCCATTTGAAATGATATAATACGATAAAATTTTGAAGAATGTGCAAATTGATAACAATGATCTTGAAATCGAGTTCATTACCCTTAACTATACTTTAGAGGATCATAAATTATATTTACATTTCAAAGCTATTACGTAATCAAGATAATCAAAATATAAGTCTTGTATCAGTTTAAAATTATAAGTATACACAAATTTTTCAAGTCAACACACTTTTGTTTTTATGAAAAAATTGCAACAATGTCAAATTATTGATTTTGAAAATGAAAAAAATGTTCAAAAATGCAAATATAAAAAAATTGTTTTCTATATGAATATTAAATTATTTTCAATAGTAATAATTTTACATGTTATTATTTTATATATACAATTGTTTTTAATAAACAATTGAAAAATATTTAATAATAAAAACATAAATAAATATACAATAATAAATATGAATAATCAAACTATAAAAATTAAGAACACAACAAATAGATAAAAAAAAATATAAATTAATTAATTTATAAAATTAATAATAATTGTTGACGATATTGCAATAAACAAAAAAAAATCCATGTTAATTAACAATTACCGTTCGTGAATTTGTAATTCATTTTTAAATATACAGTTCCTTTTTAGAAATTTTAAATATTTAAAAATTCAATTTTTAATCAAAAAATATTTCCTTTACGGAGGCGAAAAATTTATAAATAATTTTTTTTAAATTTATAATAAAAATATTTAAACAAATAAGAAAATTAAAAAAAAAATTGACTTGTACTTACCTATAAATAAATCCAAATTCACAAGAAACACACAAACAAGGTGACGATGTTACGTCTACCAACGTCTTTTCGAAACTGAACAGTGTAGAACACGAGTAACCGAACTACAGAACTACTTAAAAGTTTTGGACCTGAACTACAACCAAAAAGCACCGGAACTGAGACACGACTTCAAATTCTCTTTTTCTCGGCGAACCATTCTATTTGAGGAAAAAATCGGTCCAGACGAGGGTGGGATTTTGCTTATATACGTAGTCCCAAAAACCTTGGAGAGAGGGTAGAAAAATGGTGGGCGTGGATTGGTTAACCACAGTGGTAGGGTTGGCACGTGCCAATCAATGCTTCTTCCAAGTAATATATATATGTACTTTTTCGATTTTGTATTTATATATACTTATTGTGTATTTCAAAAATCATTTGTTACTTTCATTATAGCCAACTTTTCAGAATTTTACTTTTTTATATGAAAAACAATTATCTATGTACATAAATACAATTAGAAATAATCACTTTTTATAATTTTATAATAATAATAATTATTATTATTATGTACAATTATTATTAGTATTTTATGTATAATTAATAATTAATAATTAAAAATATTAATAATAATTGCTAATTGTTTATAATAATAAAATTTAATTATAATAATTATTATTTTTATCTACAAGAAGTAATTATGTATTTCAATTAATAAAATTAAAACTAATATTACCGCAACAAAATGAAAATTAAAAACTAATATTAAGATAAATTTCAAATTAAGTCAGTCTTGAAAATAAGGATAATCCTAATTTAAACTGGAATTCAAGTAAGACGCTTAAAAATATGAACTTACAATGCAGGTAATATTCAGTTTTAACTTAAGAGAGTCTTAAAAATTCAGAATCTAAGTCTTAGTTTAAGAAACATTTTAAAATCGACATATAACTTATGTTGTTTTTACCACAAAATTATCTACATTTTCACTGACAATTAGTAAAAATAATCTGCATAATCAGCAAGTTTTAAAAATGTTGCCACTTAAAATAAGACTTTTTAAATAAATATATATTAAAATACTACAAGACTTACGTTTTAAAGATTCCTGTCAGGTCATAAAGAAATAGTCTTTTCGGTTTTCGCTTTTGTTAAATAAACAATCATCGCCAGTTGAATTTATTTATCTGTAAAAGACATAAAAAAAAATTAAATTACCTTCAAATGTTTTACATCGGTACAATTTTCTAATAATATGTTTTAATAATTTTTAATTATTCTTTGTGTAAAACAAAAAAATTAATAATATTAGAATCAAAGAAAATAACGGATTTTTCAGACATTTTATAATTTATAACAGTTTTAAAGTAAATCTAATAAAAATAAGTGGGTTTTTCCTATTTTTTTTTGCGGGTTCGTCCCGGTCAACAGTTATATTATAAGCGGTTCAAGAAAATGAACAAGAAAACATTGTAAGCTGCTGCCCCTTTTTTATAGCATGGTTCGTTTTTAAAGATCTTTAAAACCTTTCTGTCACTCAATTTTATGTTGCGGACGAATGAAAAAAAAAGTTGAAAAAAAGCTGCCAACTTTCTCAATGGATCAAGAAATTACGGTACATAAATTAAAAAATGTAAACTTATCTAAAAATATGAAAGTGCAAAAGAAATTTAAAAAGACATGTGTTACCCTAAAAAAAATTTTACCTAAGGACATTTTTTTTTTTTGCAAATTTTCGTTCAATAGAATTGACCTTCCCTTAATCGTTTTTAGCAAAAAAAAAAAGTAACATTTTTCATTTTACTGAACAAACATCCGGCTAAAGAATTTTAATGTAAGTTTTAAAATTAATCAATCAAAAATTAAGAAAATTTGTAATTAATTAATTTTAAAATTTGTGTTAAAATTCCTTAGTCAGATGTTTGTTCAAACAAATAAAAAATCGATAATTTTAAAGTTTGGTTAAATAAAAAAAATCCAGATGAAAATTTCGATAAACTACAAATTTGCGAACCACTATTGTAATATAAATAAAAGAGAATTTTTTAAAATCAAGGAAATGACTTGCTATTAAACTGTAATAAATATTTCAAAAAGATTTCATCATTTCAAAACTATGGAAACTTTTACAACAGCAATATTCGCAAGAAGAAGAAGAAGAAAAACGAAGCCAGATGCTTCAGTGAAAAATTATTATTTATCACTATATTATCGTAAAGGCCTATTAGTAATAGAATTTTCAGAAGTCTTTCTTATGCAATAACGAAGGACTGTAGTTTTCCATTCTTAAAAGTTTACCCCCAATAATGGCGACCGGTTGAATTAATCCGATCAGGTCTCATTCAAAATGAACATTTTTCTTTTAAAATCTATTTATTGTCCATATCCTTGGCCTACTAATTCCCTCAAAAGTTCGGCAAAGGGTTAAAGTGAAAATGAATGTTATTACAGGGCGAAAGTTGAAATTCTTTTTCCTGTGGAGAAAAGCAGAAGTCCAACAGTGTCCTCTTGTTATGTGAATGTTTACTTTAACCCTTTCGGTCCCATCCGACTTCTGTAATATTTCAAAACCTCATTGTTTCTCCCACTGGTACAGATTTATGGCATTTTCGTGCCTTTAACCCGTTCGTTCAAAATCGCGAATTTGCGTAAAGGCTTCATAAATTATAAAAATATAATGTCACCTCTTGTTTGGAAAAGTTCATGGATTGATATTTTCTCACTTCAAAATCTCAGCATCTAGTAGCTAAAGGGTTAAGGATTGAGGTATATACTTCAAGAAAAGGTTTGTCATTTATATTCACATTTAGCCTCGACGAGAGAATATCTTATATTCGTTTTAATCCGATATCGCTTGTTAAACCATTCAAATTTTATTTTGAGAACTGTTCATCCATCACGGGAGACAATGAATTTTTTATTAAACGCGGATTTAAGTGAATTAAAATAATTTAATTTTAATTTAATGTAATTGGTGATTATGAGAAAAATTTTTTTTTTTCATTCTTTTTCTATATAGACAAGAGAAAAAAAGAAATATTATTGTAATATTATTTTATCTTGTCTATTAGTGAATAGTGCCAACTCATTAAAATAACATAATATACTCATTAGCTTTAAATATACATTGTTTCAACATTACATAAATTTTGAAAAAGAGTCATTATTATCATTATCATAATCATTAAAAATTATAAAAAATTATGTAATACATAAAAAATAATTTAAAAATAACTTTTTAGATGAATGTATAATTTAAGACTTTGTATCTATTGTGTGTTATACATTATATGACCAGTAAAAAGAAAATCTTATTTTAAGAATGACTTAAATTTAAATTATCCCTGAACAGGGCTGCAATAATTTAAAGCAAAGGGCAATTTATATTTAAATGATGATTAAAGTCAAATAAGTTTAAATTAAAATTTTATAAACATCAACAATTTAAAAAATTATTTTTAATATTTTTTATACATATTATATATATATTCATAAATAAAACTAATTTTATTAAATTTTGAAAGTTTCAGTTATACGATTTACAAAATAAATTATTTTGCGCAAAGTTTGTTGTTAAATAATAATCATTTCACTTTTTCCCTTTTTTGTTCAAAGTTGCTGAATAATTGTTATTTTTATCCAATTTATACAATAAAAATTAAAATTGTTCACTATAAGTTTTAAGAAAAAACATAAAATGTTTATTAATTATTATTTAACAACAAATTATAACTCTAAATAATTATTTTTTGAAAATTATACAACTATATTTTTGGAATTTGGGTGAAATCAATTTGACATATATTTTTAGTTCTGTTAAAAACTACTTTTTAGGTTCAGGTTATGTTAATCGGTTGTGAACCTCCTTAAATTTATCGTTTAAGTATTTATTAAATAAATATACTATTTAAAAATTAACTTTTCTAAAATTTTACATAAAAAAAATCTGATTTAAATCAGAATAATTATATTTAGGGTCAGCCGGGGTAAATCCGAACGCTAATTATTTCAGCTTAATTAAAATTTTAAAAAATAAGTTAGACATGAGAATTTTTACCTCAGATCCTCTTCAAGAGATTCTAAGTATTATCCCATTTTTTGTTTGTTAATTAGCAACAGCATAAACAAAGATAACGAGTATTGCAAAAAATATTGAAAATCAAAGATGACACTCTTTCAGTATTTTGTCTCGTATTTGAAGAAAAAGAAGCTAAAAATTCATTTTATTATTTATAATTGTTTGTTATGAATACTAGAACAGAAACTATTTTTGATTTTTGCCTTCTGTAAAATTTTATTAATAATATCAGACCGTTTGTATTTACCCCGGAAAATTGGAAAACCGGGGTAAATCCGAACGGTATTTTCAATCGTTTTTTCTTATATCAGAGCCACACAAAATTGTTTTTATTTTATTACACTATTATTTTAACATTATAAAAGTACATAGAAAAAAGTTTTTCTTTCTATATGTATCCTCGTTAGTAATTAATAAGCAGAAACTTAATCTCTGTTCTCTCGAAGGAGTGTTCCACTTTTTTTGCCAAATGGTTTGTTGAAAAAAGTTTTTCAGGATCTTAATAAAATTTGGTATTCTAGGGTTTTTGGGGTCGCTGATTACCAATTTCAAGTCAGTTTTTCAAAATTCAAAATGGCGGATCCAATATGGCGGACGAGAATTAAAAAATTCATTGGATTCGCTCGAAAATTGTTACTCGGATGGTTTCAGGGTCGCTGATTAAGAATTTGGAGTTAGCAAATTTCATCATTTTTAAAAATAATTTTTAGGAAAATCCGCCATTTTGAATTTAAAAAATTTGACTTTTATTTTTGTATTTACATTCAATCACTCCAAAATACTTTCTGTAGCAAGTTTTGCAAAAATCCGTTATGATTTGATAAAGTTATTGAAGGTTTTAATTGTGTAATGCATTTTAATTTTTAACCTGTTTGATTTTTGTATTTATATATGATGCATTATTACATAATAGGTTTATTATCATATTTTTTTTGAGTTTTTATAGAAGTTTAACAATTGCAATACTTTAAATTTATTTTCCCTAAGATTTTTCTGAAATACAGTGGCGTTCGTATTTACCCCGGTATTTTAGGAAAGTTGCAAAGTATCGAGGTAAATACGAACGCTAAGTTTCCTGCGATTGTAATTTATCAAAAATGTTTGCTACCCCATAAAATTGTTCTATGGAAGTAAAGTAACAACTTCATGCACCAGAATACCGGA